TTAGGGCATTTATTTGTTTTTGCAGGGTTCCAACTTTGGGTGGAATGGATCGACCTTCTAGGCATCTTATGTATGGTTTTCGCGTTAATGCACAAATCAACTTATATCGCATAATATCTTTGGATTATGTTCGACTTTCTTGGATGTTTTATAATGTTTGTGTTTATGCTTAGTAATTGATCTTGCTTGTCTTGATGGCTTGAGAACCTTGCTGAATTCGAGGTGCAACACAATTGCATGCCTTTTTTTCTTATTTTTTATTTTTCCTGTAAGTTTATCTGATTCGGATAGAGAAATTCTTGACCTCTAGCAGCAAGGACGCGCATCTAGTTGTCCTTGTTTCAACTCGTCTGTCATATTGTTCTATTACGCGTAATAGGTTAGGTAGATTGACACGAGTAAATAAGAAATTTTAATAATGAGAAAATTGGCAAAAAGTTATGCTTGGAGACCGGTTTCCTTGTAAAATTGTTATATTCATTCATTTTATTGTGAAACGGTTATATTCGCTTTTTCAATTTTAACGTGTTTATAAATGATTTAAATTATAAATAGATAGAAATGAGGAATGAATAATTTGATAAATGAAGTCAATGGAATGTTGAGTAAAATACACATTTAGTACTGAAGTATAAGAAAAATTTTAAGTAGATAGCTAATTTTTAAAATATTCCAATTTAGTCATCTAAGTTTTGAATTAGTTCTAGTTTAGTCGCTCCGCCCGGTTCTATCAGCATATTCCTTGTGTGCAAGAGATTATTCGTAAAGATTTTTTTTAATAATGTGTGGTTAAAAATTACAAGTAAAATATGAAAAACATAAAAGTGTTTTATTATTATTATTATTATTTTAAGAATGTGGTTTTGAAAATGAACGTGAAGAAAAGTGATTTTCAAAAAATTACTTCCACACATAAATCAATATAAGGTTCACTATAAAATTTGAACTTGCAAATTTATTCTTTTTGAAATAGATAATAAAATTTAAATTATAAATTTTTATTCTTCTTAAAAGTCAATCAAATCTTCTAGCAAGTAAATTACTAAATTTTTTGAAGTATATATTGAACTAATGAATAATATATTTTAGGTGAAGTAAATAACTTTTATTTATTTTTATTTTTTTAAAGTTGGATGAATAGTTTGGTTCAATGAAATTGTCAAAAACCTAAACCAACTATTTCAAAAACATAATTTCGATACGATATGACGAATCGACAATTTTTTCGCTCCTAAATAGTCAATTCTACGTGGCAAGCAAGCAATCCTACTCATCAAAACTTACTTACTTTTACATACATTTCACATGTATCAAGCTCGTGCTATATAAATCTGAAAGCACATTAAATATGCGATCTTCAAATTTAGACCACGTTTTAAATTTCAACTGATCACACTTTACTTACTCAGTTTGAACCTCGACTTTGTTACATGTGGCATCAATTTAAGGACGAGTTTTGACAGAAGGACTCATCACTTGCCACGAATGAGTGAAGATGGAATGGGAAATAGGGACTAAACTGGAAATATCTTTAACTTTAGTTACCAATTTCAAATTTTGTTTAAATTTGAGTGACCATTTCGTGTATTGAACTTAATTTGAGACCACAGATCACACGGAAGCAGCGACGTCGTTTCATACCCCGGCCTACCGTATTAGTTAAGCAAAGCCAACCGACAACGTATTATAAATGTTCTGTGTAAGCTCCCTCTCAAATCAAGCGTTGAAAAAATGGCAAATTCTTCCCCCGCGATTCTCCCCATTTCCGATTCTGCCGACCCCATCATCACCGTTTCCTCCGACACAGCCGCCATCACCACCACCGACGCGCATCAATCCTCCTCTGTTTCATCATTCGGTGCATTTTATTCCAAAATATCAGACACTGTCCGCGTCGGCCTCGCCAACCGCCGTCCCTGGCCGGAGCTTCTTGACCGGACCTCCTTCTCCAAACCAGAGTCTCTCTCCGAGGCCATTCTCCGCTTCCGCAAGAACTACAACTATTATCGCATCAATTACCTCACCGTAATCACGGCCGTGCTCGCTATTTCTCTTCTAACCAACCCCTTCTCCCTAATCCTCCTCTCGGCGCTCCTCGCTGCCTGGCTCTTCCTTTACATCTTCCGCCAGTCCTCTGACCCTCCCGTCACCATCTTCGGCCGCCAGTTCTCAGATTTCGAGACCCTTCTGTTCTTGATCTTCTCCACCGTTGTCATCATTTTCCTCACCAGTGTGGGGTCTGTTCTCGTTTCGGCTTTTATGATTGGTGTAGCAATTGTCTTCTTACACGGTTCGTTTAGGACTCCGGAAGATCTGTTCCTTGACGATCAGGAGTCACAGGGTGGGGTTTCTGGATTCCTCTCTTTGTTCACAGGTGGGACCGCCTCCAATGCCGCCGCTGTCTCTGTTGGTCCGCCACCTGTTGCCGCCGGGATTTGAGGTTTGACGATCATAACCATTACATCCGGATCAATATCATGATGATATTCAGTTCTCATCAAAATCGAATGACAAGTTATAGTTTCCTTTACACTTTTGATTATATTAGCTAATTTTTTCCCTCTCACGAAAAAATTAGGGATAATAATATCTGTAATTGCTATTACTGGATATATTGAATTTTCATTACCGGGGTATTCTATAATTTTCGTTTATTGGTTATATGGTTTACTTAGAAAGAGAGTTAATGATGATTGATTGTTATGTTCTACTGAAATTTGTACCATATCCCTTTTTATTAACGTTCTGTTTCGTATAGATATCTTCTCTTTATTGTGGCCTTTTTCATTGGTTGAATGTAGCTACCGGATGTTGTACTAATGTGGCTAGTTGTGTGCTACAGCGGCCTGGGGTCAGGACCAGTTTGTCAAGAAGTTCATTGTCTGATTTGTGTTTAACTGTATTAATGTTTTGGGCCTGGGTGTATCGAGTGACAGCATATAGTTTTCTTACACCATTAACCGGATTAGCTAGTTACTTCTCAGAAAAAATTAGGGGAATGTTAATATGTGTTTCTATTATTGATAATTTTTTATTCTTCCATATGTTTATGCTTTACTTGGCAATACTTATGTTCTACTAAACTCGATCCTCACATCCCTTATCAATAGTGCTCAAAATGTGATATAGATATCTTCTTTTTATTGCTTTCATAAAAATTATCATGGATGAGGAACTTATTTAATTGTTGGTTGATTAGCTACTGGATATTTGTTAATGTAGCTAGCATTGTATGTGTTCTAGTGCACAGCCTGTGGTAAGGATCAGTTTGCCTATCTTTTATCATGTAGTTTGTGTTCCAAATTGTATTTGAGTGTTCGATTGCTTAACTAATTTTCTTTCTTGCAGAGTATACTGTGAGGATCGTAATATAGTTTCTTTTCTTCCATAAAATATTTTCTTATAACCGGAAGACAAAGTGAGCATTCTCCCTCCCCGTATCCAAAGAGGAGAAGAACTAAGGAACTGCCTTTTGCATAACTGATCATGTTCTTAGGTTTTTTAAAGGACGGTTCAACGAAAAAAGAAATAAAAATTGAATGAAAATTATAGTTTTCTTAATAGATTAGCTCCACTGTTCCTTCTCTGAAAAAATAGGGATGTTCATATTTGTACTCTGTTATATATCCAATTCTCTTTACTTGGGTATTCTAGAATTTTTGTTTCTTCATGAATTCATGGTTTACATTAGAAAAGCGATGATAATGATTGATTATCGTGTGTAGCTTTTAATACTTTAGGCATCAAGATTTAGTGACTAAGTATGCGGTTCAATGACTACAATTTATTGATGTGGTGTACCTTTTGGTTTATGTTAAGTTGAAATGAGCTTTATTCTATTATCAGCTTTAGTAATTTGTTTTTGATATTCAAGAATGTAGGACATTTTCATGCTGGATGACCGAGTACAAGGAGTGATTCAGTATGTGGATGGTTTTTAAAGTGCTAGAAGTTTTTCTTGATCATATAATATTTTCAATATGTAGTAATCTATACTATACATAAAAGTCCCAGAGAAATATTTTTAGCCCTTGGTTTGTTAGCAATTTTTCACTCAAAAAAATCAATTTTTTGCATGTTATTTTACTATTCCGGTCGCAATTTTTAACTTTTTTCACTCACATGTGAGACTCACTTTTCTATCTAACGGTTAAAAAATAAATTCTCATAATTATTATCAAGCAAGCTTTAGATGATTTTTCTCTCGTCAACATCTTTAGACGATACTACAAAGTTTATAATTTTGTCCCTTAGGTTGCTTTATGTGTGTTTTATCCATTCCGTTCCTTAGCATATCGTCCCTTTTATACCAAAATTCAGTTGAAATATAGAAGAAAAGTGCTAAGGGTTAATGTGGCGCACAAATATTTATTATATGCGAGTCTTACTATAACTCCAAACAAAAAGATGATACACCTGTACACGGACGGATGTATAGGAACCCCATAGAATTGATCTTGATCATCTTTGACACTTGCATGTTATTTTGAAATTCAGTTGTACTGTACAGTTGATACTTGAATTGATGTGAGATTGTTCTATACACGATTGAGATATTGTGTGTTTTATTCGTTTGAGAGCAACAAACCAAGTCATGTAAAACGTTAAAGCTAAAAAATTTATTTCCTTTATTTGGTCTCTCTTTAACAAATAAATTATAAATTTACTTGTATGGATGTACTTAAAAAGGATATATATATGTATCGAAAGTGGGTTACCGAATTGGTGCCGTACTCTCACCTGCGCGCAGGTTGGCGTACATTTAAACATTCCGACTTGTGGGACCCGCCATGCTATTGTGAGTGTAGTTAAAAGATTAAGTAAAAATGTGTACGTAAATGTAACATTGTCCACTTAAAAATTTTGAAGCTTCCTCCGTTGGTTTACATGGGTTGGGGACATGAAACATGATATCAGACTCGAATCTTTAAATTTTTAATTTTATGTTTTTAATTGAATCAAATTAAAAAAAATAAAAATGAAATGGGAAATGAGGATTATTGAAATTATCTAAGAAAAATTCTTGATGGCGTTTGGACGATATTATAATGCAATTTTGATCAATGCACTGTCGAACCTTATTATCATACCTAATCGTTTGGTGAGTACCAACTTTGGTTACGAATATTTGCTCCTCAATTCAAAAGACGAGGATGCATGAGGGACGGGCCACTCCATTTTTGCCAACCCTAAATTTGTGGCAATTGCTAAAACAGAGCTTCTCTTCTAACAGCAAACACCCAATCGAAGTAATGGACGACTTTTCAATTGAGAAGATCCAATTATCTGGCGCCACTTTGGCCTCACTCCTCCACCGTGCCTCCGCTGCCACCGGCGACCTCCACGGCTACCTCTTTGGCCACGTCACCCTTTCGACCCACAATCCCCTCTCCGACGACTCCACCACCTCTTCCGCCACTGCCGGTCCAGTTCTCGCCGCTACTATCACTTCCTTCATCTCCCTCCCCTCCCACCTCTCTCTTCCTCCGCCGCCACCTCACACCATCACCAACACCCTTCTCGGCTGGTTCTCCGCCCGCCGGAAAACTGCACTTCGTCCCTCTCTTAAAGACTCCACCACTACTGGCGCTCTTTCCTCCTCCACTTCTCATTCATTCACCCCCAAAAATTCATCTCTTTCTCTCCCTCCTTCTCTCTTTCTTCTCTTGACGACGCCGATTCAAGATCAATTAATTCACACCCATGAATACAAAGTTTTTCAGTACCGCATTGCGGATAAAACTTTCGAGCCCAAGAGCTTGAGTATAATTAACATTGGCCCATCTTTTCGTTCCCATTACGAGTCTTTTAGCCCTTATGCGCCATTCCCGTTGGTCAATTGTGATTTGAGGGGCCCCAATGCAATGGAGGAGGATGAAAAGGTTGAGAGTTTGGGAGCTATGAAGGATCAGAAGCAACTAGATATGTGCGCGGAGGGATTTGAGATTGGGAGGCTGAGTAAATTGGTTGGCTCCGAGGCTACGCATCTAACAGCTGAGTTGGAGGAATTGTATCATAAAATGCTTGCCAAACTCGATGGCTTGTCGAAAGTGGTCGAACAGGGCTCTGCCAAAGTTTTGGAGCAGGTGAGAATGCTAAGTAAGATTGAATATTTGGAACAGATTGAAAATTATGTCGAGACCAGAGGCAATATATCTTTTATAACATTTAGGGATGATTTCACTTTTTAATGTGATTTGACATTTTTGGCAGGAGAATAATATTATGAAGTTGAGGTATAAAGCTGCTGGTTTGGAATGAATAAATGGTGTTCTTGTTATAATTCAAGGTAATTTGTTGCTCCTCTGGTTTTATATGTTTATCATCTTTACAAAATAATTAGTTTTATTCAAATCATGAATTCCTTTGGACAATTGTGTTCGGGTCACCTAGTAGAATCAAGTTTCTATGTGTGTGAGTACATGTTCTTGTCACAATTTCTTTATTGCATGATAACTCTAGTGCATAACTGACTTATGGTATGGTTTATGTTACATGTGATTTCCTTTCATTAATTTGGCAATTATTAATTAAATCTTCGACCTATATATCTCCCAATTTCTCTTGTTGAATGATTGAAGTTTTCAGTAATAGGTGGCATCATATGACCATGAAAGATTACTGTAATAATGACTAGAAGATATGTGGATGTGAGTTTGTGTCTACATAAAAAACATGGCTTTTCTGAATAGCATAGGTATTAATTTCTAATTGGCATCTTGTCATGTAATGACTGGAATATCGGATATCCTTATTTATTCTCCTTTCTTTCTTTATTTTTCTTTTTCTTTTTTCTTTCTTTCTTTATTACATTCTTTCTTTTCTTCTCTTTCTCTCCCCTTTCTAGTTAAAGTGTCAAATATTATGTTTGGATTCAATTTTTTAATTGGATATATGATGATGTTGAGATAGAAAAAGAGTAAGAAATTTGATGATGAGAAATATGTGAAAACTTATATGGTTCATGTTGAATATAATATGTTTTATTTAAAAAAAAAAATCGAATTATTTTAAAGATTTAAAATTTGAGTAAAACAATAGATATTTTCATATCAGTGTTGATGTTTCTCTAATTCTCTGTAAGCATTATAAACTAACTTATCAAGTGAAGTTTCAAATACCTTTTTATGGAACTCTTTCAGAAGCTTTTGGAACTCGTTAGATTGGAAAAATTTGTCAAGCCATCCATTTATTAGATGCATTGGAATCTTAACATGCTAGCTCACTCACATTATATATGATATAGTCTACATAGGTATATAATATAAAATATAATGATCTCCTTGAGCTTAGGGTATCTTTTATGTCACATGAGTAATAGTGCATCATTCTCTTTGGGTATCATTTATGTTACACTTGTTTTGCTTTCAATACTTTGGTAATTATTAATTAAATCTTCCATCTATCTTTCTCAGGATTTTTCCTTTTGAATGATTTGAGTTTTGAGTAATATGTGGCAACAGTTGACCATCCAAGATTTAACGACTGAGATCTGTGGATGTGTGTTTGTGTAGACATAAAAAACATCGCTTTTCAGAATAGTGTAGGTAATAATGTCTAACTTGCGTTTTGCCATGAAGTGACTGGAATATCTGATATCCTTTGTTTATTTTCCTTTTCTTTCTTTGTATCTATCTAATGTTCTTTCTTTCTTTTCTTCTTCTTCTCTCCTCTTTCTAGTTAACCTGACATATATTCTAGCTTGGATTCAATTTTTTCATTCGACGCTTTTGATTTTTGATAGGAAAAGACTAAGAATTTTGATGATGAGAAACATATGAAAACTTGTGTGGTTCATGTTGTGTATAAAACCTTTTATTATAAATTTACAAATTATTTTAAATATTTAAAATTTGAGCCAAATATTATTTTCATATATGTGTTGATGTTTCTCTAATTCTCTGTAAGCATTATAAACTAATTTATCAAGTGAAATTTCAAATACTATAACAATCGCCTAGATCTTAGGGTGTATGTTACATGCGTAACGCTAGTGCATCCCCATCTTATAGGATGTTTATGCTATGTATGTTTTGCTTTCAATATGTTGGTAATTATTAACTAAATCTTTGGTCTACCTTTCTCAAGATTTTTCCTATTAAATGATTGTAGTTTTGAGTAATATGTGGTAACATTTGACCATGAAACATGACTACATTAAAGACTGAGAGATATGTTGATGTGTTTGTGTAGACTCAAAAAACATGGCTTTTTTGAATAGTATAGGTATTAAGAGTCCTGCCATGAAATGCCTGGAATGACAGATATCCTTATTTATTTTCCTTTGTTTCTTTGTTTCTTTTCTTCTTCTCTCCCCTTTCTATTTCACTCGACATATTGATAGACCCTCAATCCACGCAACATACCAAAGGCGCAAGCAAGGATCAAGGGGAATTGGCACAATTGCAAGAACAATTACATAATTACAGCACCAATTGCAGTATAAATAAGGGGAATAATCACGTTATCAGCATCCAAAAATTGGGAGATTCCTTGGAAGAGTGTGGGCCTCTCGAATGTCCATTAATCTTGTTATTTTTTTCCTTTTTTTTGAATAAAGAATCTGCTTCCCTGATCGCACGTTCGTTCCTCTTGTAATCATTGTTTGGTGGTTAAACTCTCATAATAAAACTCCTGCTCTGTTTTGGATCTATCATTGGTATTAGAGCCGTTACGATCGGGATGGTGAATTTATCGGATCGTGTGGGGGAATTGGAAGGGTTTCACCAAAAATTGCATGGTCGGATGGAAGAGATGCAAAATGGGTTCGATAGGATGCAGGTGGAAATGCAAAGGGTGCGGAATATTGAGAAAAATATCGAAATGATCCTGGAGCAGTTCACCTTCATAAGAACAAAATGGGAAGAAGGGGGGGAGAGAGAGAGAGAGAAAGTGCAAAGGGGAAGAACGAGGGAAGGAATTGGAGTATGACCTGCCTTTGGAAAGTTCCTCAGGCGTAAAAACAAGTTGTCGCGTCATTGCTGGAGGGTTGGGAGACCACTGGAGACCGGAACTTAAGGAGAGAAGACTCGAGATGCCTTTTTTTTGGGACAAAATCCAGATGACTGGATCTTCAATGCCGAATGGTATTTCGGGGTGAATCAATCGACCGAAGGGGAGAAATTGGAGTCGGCGGCACTATGTTTTGAAGGGGATGCACTTGCTTGGTACCAATGGGAGCAGAGCAGAAAGGGGATAAAAAATTGGGAAACGCTGAAGTTCTTGCTACGAGCGAGGTTCAGGTCGACGCTGGAAGGCACCATGGAGGAGCGCTTCCTGGCTCTCCGACAAGAAAGGGTCAGTCATGCAGTATCGGGTTGCCTTTGAGACATTAGCAACACCAATTGGGGAGATCTCAGAGGCCATATTGTAGGGCCATTTCATCAATGGACTGTCTCCAGAAATTAAGGTCGAGATCCGTGTGTTGAAGCCCAAGGGGTTGGAGCAAATCATGGAGCTGGCCCAACGCATTGAAGAAAAGAATCAGGCCATGCATGCCCATTTTGGTGGTTCTGGCCCAGTGCGAAATAAGGCAAATACCAACTGAAATTGGCAAAATTCCCCTTACCGACATACAACCTTCAACGCACCAACCACCAACCACCAACCCACGTCCTGCAATGTCAATTGAAAATCGAAACATTGCTCCTGGCGGCACAGCCTCTTCCGGTTTTAAAAAGCTTAGTGAGGCTGAATTTAAGAATAAGCGAGAGAAGGGACTTTGCTTCCGCTGTGATGAGAAATACTCTATTGGGCACAAGTGCAAGTCTAAAGAACTGCAAGTGCTGCTGGTTCATAATGAGGAGATAGAAGGATTGGGAAGTGAAGAGAGGCACGAGGAACCGGATGAATGTGGGCGGGCAGTTACCGGTGAAGTGGTTGAGTTGTCAATGAACTCAGTGGTAGGGCTCACCCTGCCTCATACCATGAAAGTGAAAGGGGCGATTTCCGGTCAAGAGGTAGTTGTGCTAATTGATTGCGTGGCACAATTTTATTTCTGTTGAGATAGTACAGAAGCTGGGATTGCCAAGAACCGATACAACTGGATATGGGGTAATCATGGGCACGGGTATGGCAGTGCAAGGAGTGGGGGTGTGCAAGGGAGTGCAATTGTCCCTCCAAAACATTGAGATAGTGGAAGATTTTCTTCCCTTGGATTTGGGGAGCTCCGATGTGATTCTAGGGATGAAGTGGCTATCATCCTTGGGACCAACCAAGGTTAACTGGAAAACTCCAACGATGAAGTTCTAGGTTGGGGGTACTACCATGACTTTGCAAAGGGATCCAAGCTTGAGTAAAACGTTAGTCACCTTGAAGGCTATGATGAAAGCTTTCAGGGAAGGAGGTGAGGGTGTGCTTCTTGAATTAGGCAGCATGGGGGTCGAGTTTGGACAGGCACAGAGTGAGCCACCAACAGAAATTATAGAGGTGGTGAGTGAATTTGGGGAGGTTTTGGAAGAGCCTGAAGGGCTGCCGCCACAACGAGACAAGGATCATTCCGTCCACTTGCAACCAGGAACAGCCCCTATAAGTGTGAGGCTATACCGCTACCCCCATGTTTAGAAGAATGAGATCGAGAAATTGGTCAAAGAAATGCTAGCAGCCGGGATTATCAGGCCAAGTACGAGTCCTTTCTCAAGTCCAGTTTTATTAGCGAAGAAAAGAGATGGAGGATGGCGCTTCTGTGTAGATTATAGAGCTATAAACAAGGTAACGGTACTGGATAAGTTTCCTATTCCGATGATCGACGAATTGTTGGATGAGCTACATGGGGCGACAATCTTCTCTAAACTCGATCTAAAGGCTGGTTATCATCAAATTCGGGTCAAATCGGAGGATATCCCAAAAACTGCATTCAGGCTCCACGAAGGGCATTATGAGTTCTTGATGATGTCATTCGGATTGTCGAATGCACCAGCCACATTCCAGTCACTCATGAATGAAGTATTTAAAGAACAGTTGAGGCGATTTGTTCTCATATTTTTTGATGATATTTTGGTATTCAGTCGAAGTTTGGAGGATTATGCGGAGCATCTGAGGAAAGTCTTGCAGCTGCTAAGACAACATCGGTTGTATGCCAATCGCAAGAAATGTAGCTTCGGTTAACCAGAAGTAGAATACTTGGGGCATTGCATATCACACCGGGGTGTGGCCACAGACAAGTCAAAGATTCAAGCCATGGTAGACTGGCCTAGTCCCTCTCCGCTCATTGTGAGAGTTGAGGGGATTTTTGGGGCTCACAGGGTATTACCGCCGTTTTGTGAAGGATTATGGTAAATTAGCATGGCTATTAACAGAAAGGTTATGCAAAGATAATTTTTCTGGGATGGAGAAGCAGAGCAAGCGTTCAGAACACTGAAAACAGCCATGACATCCGTACCGGTCATGGCCCTTTCGGACTTCAACTGCCCCTTTATAGTGGAGATAGACGCTTCGGGTTTTGGCGTGGGAGCTGTGTTAATGCAAGATCATCATCCTATTGCATACTATAGCTGTGCGCTTAATCCAAAAGGGAAGGCAAAATCAACTTATGAAAGAGAATTGATGGCGATTGTGTTTGTGGTGCAAAAATGGAAACACTACTTGCTTGGTCACAAATTCTATGTGCGAACGGATCAGAAAAGTTTAAAATTCTTATTGGAGTAACGAGAAGTGAACTCAGCGTATCAGAAATGGTTACTTAAGTTAATGGATTATCAATTTGAGGTTCAATATCGACCGGGAAGTGAAAACAAGGCTGCTGATGCCCTTTCCCGCATCAGCTCTTCCACTGAGTTAATGGCAATATCAGCTCCTGCAGTAGTACAACTAGACATTCTTGCAGAAGAAGTTCGTGCGGACTCACAGTTACAAACTATCATTCAAGAACTCAGGCAGAGTCCTTCTAGCAGACTAGATTTTGCAGTGGTAAATGGCTAGCTGCTATTTAAGGGGTGTCTATTTCTACCTAAAGGGTTATCACTGATTTCGTTAATGTTACAAGAGGGGCACGACAGCAAGATTGGAGGACACTCCGTCTATCGGAAAACTTACAAACGCATCTCCGAAAATGTCTATTGGGAAGGGATGATAGCTGATATTCAACGTTATGTGAGCCAATGTGCAGTTTGTCAACAAAACAAGTATATTGCACTATCACCGGGGGGATTATTGCAGCCGCTACCGATTCCTAATTAGGTTTGGGAAGACATAGTCATGGATTTCATCGAAGGGCTTCCGAAATTGGGCAACATGGACACAATCTTGGTAGTAGTGGACAGATTAAGCAAATATGGGCATTTCATAGGGCTTAAACACCCTTTTAAGGCGGCAAGTGTGGCTGGAATTTTTATTAAAGAGGTGGTGCGTCTACATGGAGTACCCCGCTCTATAGTGTCGGATAGAGACAAGATTTTTGTAAGCGATTTTTGGGAAGAATTATTTCGTCTGCAAGGTACGAAACTCAATCGTAGTACAGCTTACCATCCCCAGTCTGATGGACAGTCAAAAGCATTAAATCGCACCCTAGAAATAGATCTTCGTTGCTTTGCTTCTTCACGACCCAAATCTTGGTTCAGTTGGTTACCTTGGGCCGAGTTATGGTATAACACTTCCTTCCGCACCGCAAGCAAGACTACTCCCTTCAGGTTTTATATGGGCGCGAACCTCCTGCTCTGCTAAGGTTTGAAAAAGGATCCACCCTAGTTTCAGTAATAGAACAACAACTCCTTGAAAGGGATCGGGTTCTAGAGGAATTGAAAGTGCAGTTACTACAAGCCCAGACGAAGATGAAGAGCATAGCTGACCGCAAGAGAAGGAATGTTCACTTTAATGTTGGAGATCATGTGTATTTGAAGATTAGACCATATCGTCGCAAATCCTTAGCTACGTGACCTAACGAAAAGTTAGCACCACGATTTTATGGTCCATTTGCGGTGGGTCAGAGGATTGGCAAGGTTGCTTATAAGCTAATTCTTCCTCCAACATGTAACATTCATCCCGTATTTCATGTATCCAAGCTACGCAAGGCAGAAGGAGCAGTGCATGCTGTGAAAGAAGTACCCAGCCAATTAAGTGAGGAGTTGGAGATGTTGGCTGAACCAGAGACATTACTTGGTATGCGACCTGGCTTAGGTAGCAATATTCGAGGCTTGGATGTTTTAATACAATGGAAGGGGCTACCCCCACTTGAAGCTACTTGGGAGTCTTACGACATGATTAAGCAACAGTTTCTTTCCTTTCACCTTGAGGACAAGGTGAAACTTATGGGAGGAGGTAATGATAGACCCTCAATCCACACAACATACCAAAGGCACAAGCAAGGATCAAGGGGAATTGACACAATTGCAGGAACAATTACATAATTCAGTACCAATTGCAGTATAAATAAGGGGAATAATCAGGTTACTAGCATCCAGAAATTGGGAGATTCCTTGTGAGAGCGTGGGCCTTTCGAATGTCCATTAATCTTGTTATTTTTTTCCTTTTTTTTTTAATAAAGAATCTGCTTCCCTGATCGCAGGTTCATTTCTCTTGTAATCATTGTTTGGTGGTTAAATTGTCATAATAAAACTCCTGTTCTGTTTTGGATCTATCACATATATTCTAGTTTGAATTCAATTTTTTTCATTGAACACGTATGATGTTGAGATAGAAAAAAGACGAAATTTTGATGATGAGGAACATGTGAAAACTTGTGTGGTTCATGTTGATCATTAAAAGTTTCATTTATAAATTGTCATATCATTTTAAAGATTTTAACTTTTAGCAAAATAGTATTTTCATGTATGTGTCTGTTTCTTTTATTCTCTGTGAGCATTATAAATTAATTTATCAAGTGAAGTTTCAATACTATTTTGTGGAATTCTTTCAGAAGCTTTGCATTATATATGCTGTAATTTACATAGATATATAATAGAGAATATAATACTTGTCTATAGATAGATATACGATATAACAATATTCAAATTCAAGGTGATGTGTTGTGTCCTTAATTTTTTGATTTTATGGGTAATGTAGAATTTGTTTGAGAGATACAAATCGGACGTGAATGGCCTCATATTTTGGCTTTAGAAACGTTATCTTCAAACTATGGGACTATAGCTGTCAAATTCTATTGGTCATATCTTAAAATAATAAAATATACACATGCACAAGGTGAATAATATAATGTAATAATAGTATGTAAAGAAATATAATGCTTCACATTATCTTTCCTTACCTTTGCTGGACGCAATATGTGCGATAATGTTATCATGTTTTATTGGGGCATCTTTCTTTCCTGTTTTTGTGGGCAGTAATATTGCTCAATTTGGCACTATAGAAACCTTTATCATGCACATTGTCTTTATAGCGTCCAGAAAAGAGACATTTTGTGGGATTGAAATGTAAAAAATGAAAATCTTGCTATTTGTTATATTCAACGTGGTGCATGAAATGTGAATACAAAACAACCAATGTGTAAAAATGGTAATCTGGTATTGAGGTGATTTACCTTTTCTAGCAAGGCAAGGTAAGGTGCAAGCTTCAATGTGTTTCGAGGCGTAAGCCTCAAGACAGACTACTAAAATGAGAAAACATAAGAAAGTCATGAGTAAGATAATGATAAATCTCTAAAGCGTTTTTGGCCAAAAATTGGAAAGGCTTCTGTGAAAGTATATGCAAGTTGTACATCATTTTTAAGTTTGATCTCCCTAATTTTCATCATACTCCCCAACTGGGCTTCATGGTCCAGTCAGTTCATTGAGATAGAAGGAAACCATACCAGATTCTTTTCTGTCTGTGCTGGTGTTTTTCTTGTTTAAAGTTTAAATTTCAACAAATGGGTTAAATTGTTAGTGGGTTGTCCTCTAATTAGGTCTAATGGAGATTGTATTAGATATTCGATCTCTTTGAGCCCACTTTTTGGCGTAGAATGCATTATGGAATAATAGACCGATGTCGAATGTGTGATTAAAAAATAAGGAAAAGTCTTGGGTTTACGTGTAATATTATTTTATTAAAGAGTGTGATTAAAATAAGAGAGAAAAATATATTTTGGAAATATTGGGGATCAAACAAGGGCATTATGTGGAAGGTTTGGCAAATTTAGATACTTATTTTAAGAAAAAAGAATGAGGATTTAGTTTTAAAGACTTTTCTCTTTTTAATGGTTCCACTGTTCGATAATGATCATTTCCGGTTCATTATTGAATTGGGAACTGGACTGAACCTCTCGCTTTTTGGTTTAGGAAAACCATTTTTAAGTTTTTCTACCAATTTCCATAAGATTTGCCTACCCATAGTTTTCTATCAGGTTGCTCTGCCATGTATGTTAGCAAATGGTTGACTAAGATGGACTACATTCTTTTCTCCTTTAGATTACATCGCAAGTTGCATGCATCACTTTTAAATTTCAGTCGCGTGACTTAGTTTTATGATGCTGATATTGCACAAGGCATATTTTATGTTAGCTAATATCAACTTGCCCTTCCTGCTACCTTAAACACCATTAGTTTAATAAGCCCGGTCTATATTTAAATGTTGCATATTTCTATGATCTCTCCAGTTTCTTTACGCATATTCGTTTCCCAGATCTATCAAGTTTCCTTTTGTACTAAGTTAATATCTGGATCTTCCTATTGTCTCCTGTCCTGGGATTCTGCTTTGCTTGGATTATATTCCATCTCAATTTTTGCATTTGTTAATTTCCTTGTGAGACTGTCTTGAATCCTTTTTAATTATTGAACATTGTATTTAATTAAAGCTATTGAAATCTTTGCAAGCTAGTGCTCATACATGTTCAAAGCCGAATCAATAAAATTGAGTTATCTTTTTGTCGAGTTGGAGAAATAGGGAAAGCATTAATTGTTGTAAAAATAGTTAGAAGACTGGATTTTTTTTAATGAAAACCTTGGGTAAAATGACACCGTTTGGTTCTCCTCAGGGAATTATAATTAGCAACAAATTAAACCTATTATAATTATGTCAATGGATAAGGTTCCTGCCAAAGAGCCTTACTAGCGTTTTACGAGAAACAGTGTCCATTTTTGGAGTTAACAACTCTTGCTGGACTCTTTGAAGCTGTCCCCACAATTTACAAATATTCTTTTATTCTTTGGTGCTTTGATTACTTCATGTAATGCATTTATGTACGTCTTTGCTCACTAATCAATAACTCTTGAGATGAATCGTCTTTTTTGTGCAATTCCAAATGTGAAGTAAGTTTCCTTATCTTAGTGGTGAAACTGAATACTTGAAATTCAATGCAGTGTTGGTCAATCTCAACTATCAATTGTCCTTCGATTGTTTCTGCAGATTCCTTGGAAGCACGAAGGTGCATAGTAAATCTCGGAAGCTTGTTGTTTATAACAAAATAATCATAGAAATGTTGTTCTTGTTGCTGGCTATTGGATCTTTTGGCTGATTTGTGGTTGAACGAGGCCGCGCCCTGGTTACATCATAATGTACTACATTCTACATGTATCATTGTGTTATGTACTTGTTTCCTAGTATTGGCATTGGTTCCTTTTTTATTTTTCTTTTGTTTTTGTGTATAATCCTTGTGATTTTGTTGATATTTTTTCCCTTTGGTGTCAAGAAGTTGATGAAATTGAGCATAAAGCTTTTGATGTTGATTTCTTTGTTAGCTAGTTTTATTTTTATTTTTTTCCATTTCTACTTTGCAAAATGAGTATCCAAGTGACCCAGAGTCCAACTCACCATTGAAATTGGCTTGTAGCGGATGATGTTCTGGCGATTAGAAGTCTAGAGGTCAAGTTTTAACATAGCAATGTAAGATGCAATTAAATTTTTCTCCTAGAGCCGACTCTATTAGCTCATATTCTCGTTTAAGTGACTTTACAATCTTCTATTAGAGGTAGTTCTTAGGGCTCGTTTCGCATGATTTTTAAGAAGTCAAAGGGAGCTGAATGAGACATAAAAGTTGTTTCTAAACTCGTTTGGTTAATTTTGGGAAAGTGTTTTTTTAATTAGAAGAACTTTGAGAAAAAAAAAAAAGGGAAAAATTGATATAATATGATTTCCTTTTAAAAGCACTTCTAGAATAAGTTCTTTTAAAATTAGTTTTTAAATAAAAATTAAGATAGTTTCTTCCAAAAATTCTTCTGCATGAAATAAAAGTAAAAACAAAAATCATATTAAAGTAGCTCTTAATCATTTGCCTTACCCAAGGCAATTGCTATACACATGTTGGATAAAATTTACCCGTAGCATTAGCTTATAAGAGTAAGGTGTATAAGTGAGTTTAATCGTGCTCAACTTATCAGCAAAGTAAGATGCAACTAGAGTTCGCAACCCCAACGTGAGGAGTTCGATTCCTGGTTGGAGCAGCTGAGTGTTGTAATAATCAGAGAAAGGGTTGGAGCAGCTTGGTGATGTAATAATCATGGAGGAGGCTCCCTTGGGGCTAGGAGTATAAAGACTGTTCGAACCCTGGTCAATTTGGGCACATCCCGCGATTTACCTTCTTGAGCTGCTGAGGGGCCGGAAGTTCAGGGACGAGGATATAGTCTGGCGTAAGTTGGGACACCTCGTTAAAAAAAAAAAAATTAAGAAGATGCAACTAGAGTTACAAAGTTTGATTTCAAATCAATAATTGAGATATGAACTGGATGCTGAGAACTTCTTTCATATGTAATATTGTGAACTACAATAATATAAAAATTGGAGTTTATCATAATGACGCTATGACAATCTAGAACATAATGACAAACGCATGTAATGGATCTTGGTTAGGGATGGCAAACAAACCTGGCAAACCCGATATTCGCAAGCCCTGCCCCATTTGGAAAACCGGATATCCGCAAGCGCCGCCTCGCTGCTTAATTGGGTCGGGTACGGGTGTCGAAAATTTTCCCCCATGCGGGTAGGGTTAACAGGGCCCTCCTCTTAATAATTCAATATTTTAAATAGAAAAAATTCATGAAATTTTATTAATTCTAATAGAAGAAGACAATTAAATTATCTGAAAAAATGATAAATAATAAAACTTTATTTATCAAATATATTCGAATAATTTAACTTTTAAAAATAAATAAATTCATTAAAAAATTTAATAACTTTATTATTGTCTCGCTTGAATGAATCCATCGGGTGACAGATCCTTCGAAACAAGATAAGGCGGTGCCACGACAATCTATATGAAAGGGTTGGTGACAATAAAGTCAATTATATATTTAAAAAAAATTAAATGGCTATATAAATGGGGGCAAGAGTCTCGCACCGACTTAAACGGGTAACGGGGTGGGAATTTGCCCCGCCCCATTTCCAATCCTAATCTTGGTGTGATAATTCAACATTGTTTCAATACGAATCTTTCGAGGATGAAAGATTATGTAAGTAGCTATGAAACTTTTAAGGGTAAATATTAAATTGACTAAACATGAAAATATAAACAAATATATAAAGGCTTTGCACAACTCCTCTTAAAAGAGGCAAAATATAAAGCTACTTGATGCTCTCCAACAAGATCTTCACGATCCTTAAAGCTGCAAAAATGAATTCATTAGATTTGGACAAAATAAATGCTTTGCTTTTGGCCTCTCAACTGATGGTTTACTGGAGCTTTTGATTTACGTTCATGGCATGGTGTATGAACTATGAACGACAATGGATTGATTTATCAAATTAGGGTAAATTACTATTCCTCTCGTTACAATGTGGAATATTGTGGCCAGACGGAGCTAAACGGCATAAAACTCATCATTTAATAAAGGTGGTTTCAACCTTAAAGAAAACCACTACAACCTCAATCAAGCACAGCAGTTGCCGGTTAACTAGGGGTCAAGTTTTTATGGATGAGATTAAAGTTTGTGTAAGTAGGGTCAATAAAATATTCGAGTACAAAGTTATCTGTGATTGTTTTGAGAATTTCCTTCTGATTTGACTTAGATTTGAACTCAAATAATTTTATGCATTAAGCTCTGGGTGATAGAGGCGGTGATCGTCTCTCACAAGAGCGCAAGTCCCACCTAAATTAAAAATTAAAAAAAGTGGGCCCAACTATTTGTGAGTGTCGGTCAGATTGTATATCAACCTGATTTCTGTTATTGCAACATCTTCCTAATTTTACTGAATCTCTGATTGGACTAAGGGGATCCACTTTGGGATTTGAAATCTGAAAATTCAAATGTAAAACAATTAATGACAATAACTTTTTAGAATAGTTTTCAAATTTGAGCAAATTTCAAGCCGATGATTTTAACCGAAAATAAGGAGTTGACAAGGTAAAGTGTTTTAAAATTAATTTTCATTCTGCAATATTCAACCGACTTTATTGTAATCTCACTCCAATATATTTTCCTTAACTAAATTTTCTCTCTCCAGTTGCACTAGCATACATATTGAGATACTCGTAGATATGGCAATCGGGCTTGTCGGCTCGGACTGCCTGCGACTCGGCTCTGTTCTAGCCCCATTTTGGAATGCCGTGCAAAGCTCGAGTCAGCCCATGTGGCTTGCTGGCTCGAAATCAGGGGCCTATATTATATATATATAAAAAATAAAATTAAAAGACAGCAACACAAACTGCTGCCTTATTTAAAGGTAGCAGAGACTTATGCCCCCCTGCCCCCTAGGAAACTAGGCCTGTGACAAGAGACTGCCTTAAAAAAAAAGGCAATCAAGTGCTGCCTTCATTTAACATATTAAAAAAAAAATCAAAAATCAAAATCAAAATCGGCTCAGCTCGGAAAGGCCCGAGTCGAAAGTTCGCATCGAACCTAATTAAAAAGCTCAACCCGGCTCGGGCTTGGAAAAAAGCTCGCTCATTTTTCCCGAGCCGAGTCCGAGCCTTAAGTTTCGGCTCGGCTCGTTAACATTCCTATATAATCGTGTGAATAGCATATTAATTGCGACTTGAATAAAAGTTACCTTGCATCTTAAGTTAGTAAGTTTTGTATTGCGTAAATTTTGGTACGCATTGGAGAGAGACATTACATCAATAATGTACGACCTTTCAAGATAATAATATTAGAGCGACCCCAATAAGTCTTGTATCAACTCTAATCAACTTCAAATCTTCGACTCTCCCTCGAGGGAAAATATCTCATATCAACAACTCATATCTACAGTCCAGTCAAAGAATTCATCGGACTACATATGAAATCAAAATCCAAGAAATGATAACGGTTTGGTGAAAGTTTCAGTCAGTTGATATGAAATAGCCAAGACTTCAGATAAATGCAGCAGAGACCTAGTTTTATCTTACATTTGAATGAGTACTAAAATAAACTCGTAAAGCCATAACTTACATGAAATCGATATCAGTCTACTCAATTTTTGGGGCACTCTTATATTGTTCAATTTAATTTAGTAGAGCATTAATCTTAGAACATGTTTGGACACCCTGCCCCTCCCTCCCCTCCATTTTTTTTGACAAAAATACATTTTGTAATAGTGATTTGATGAAGAATGTGTAATTTTAAAAATATGAAAAATTTTGAATTTGAATGTAATATTATTTTATCGAAAAATGTGTGATTAAGAATAAAAGAGAAAAATAATATTTTGAAAATAATCGAAATCAAACAAGGATTTAATGTGCTTTAAAAGTGTATATGGTATCAAGAACAGCCCTGAGATTTTGGGGGCCTTAAACCAATTTCAAATATAGAACCCTATATCTATGTAAAATACATGTAAAATAAAAAATAATAATTTTTTTGGAGCCCTCACCGACATGCGGCTTTAGGCGATCGCCTACCCTGCCTATAGTCAGGGCCGACACTGTATGATAGTGGAGTGAGGTGGGGCCAATGGGTTCATGGCCCCCACAAAATTTGGAAAAAAAGATTTTTGTATGAATTTTTTACTTTTAGTCTTATTATATTTTGTGCTTGATAAATTTTTTATATTTAAGTTAGCTCCCACCGAATTCAAGTCCTTTTTTCCACTTAGTGTATATGTTCATAACCTTGCAACTTTTAACTAGTATATTCATTTGAGATAATCAACAATAGTGGGAGAATGTTAAGTCATGGAACTTAATTTCTGTTCTTGTACGGTGTCTTGTCAAAATCTTATGAAAGATAGTTTAGCAATTTCATACTTATAAATTTATAATTTCGATTTTACTCTTAATTTTCTTATAAATAGAGAATTGCTATTAGAGTTTTTCTTATAAAGAGGTTAGAGAAATAAGGCGTGTGAATTTTTCTTGTAAACTTTTTATGATCATATTGAATTATTGTAACGACGAACGAGGACGTAATCTCATTTTGAAACTAAATTTTGAATGTTCTTTTGTCTATTTTTTCTACGATTTTATTGCTCAAGATGGTGTAGAATTAAAATTTCTAATTCCCTATAACATTGCATGTTCCTTCTCAGCAATCCATTGAGGTCTTGATCTATCAAGGAAAAAACTAGCCATTGAATTGGGGGTGGGGGTAACAGGGAGGAGGGCTGCAACTCCCACCCACTCTTTTATTATTATTATTTTTTTGATATCCTGGTATCCCAACTTACATCAGACTAAATTCTGGAACTCTAAGACCCATGCCCCTAGAACCTTGGAGGGGGGTACATTGCGGGATATGTCTAACTAGATCACAGGTTCTCCCTATTGACTGTACACTTCTGCGCACAAGAGACCCTCCTCCACAATAATTGTTTCATACCAAATTTTTGGCCGCATGTTCCCACCAGGAATCCAACTCTCCACCCTGCCGCTGGAAGCAAACTAATGTTGATTGATCCACCAGTTGAGTTGTGCCCGGGGGGGCCCCACCCACTCTTTTATAATCTACTATTGGTAAGTCATCTAAGCTTTGAGGAGGTTTCCAATATTATTAAACGGAAGTTAAAATTTTATTTATTAGATTGGACGATACTTCATTGTATTGTTATGTTGTATGTATCATTTTTAATGTTTCGATGTTTCCAATTAAACAACCTAATTAATTCTTGACCTGTCAAGAATACTAGCAAGTGAATTATGGTGGTGGACAAGAGGGAGGAATGGTGCCGCTCCACAAACTCATCCTTTATAGTATTTCTCGACCCTTGTTCACCATAACTTGTTCGGTAAATTGGATCCTCTCGTACAATATTAACGAAGAAAAGAAAAGGTTAAAACCATATCAATTACCCAAATGCATATTGAACAAAATACATAATGCATGAATAATTAGTGATTATGATTTAGTAGTCTCCTATTCATTTCAAACTTCAAATACATAGAAAATTGAGCAAGGTAAATGTACATTGGGTATTGCTACTTGGACAACGCCCTGTCCAAACATTGGGACGATGTGGCTCTAGATAAGGAGTTGTCCAAGAAGAAAAACTCATGTACATTATGCAGACATGTTCCCACCTTTGTTAGTCATCATTTTACCTCTTAAAATGACAACCCTCAATTCCTTCAAAAAAAATTAAAATGTTGCAGGTGAAATTGTCGTCCGTCTCTTGTAGCTCCACCTCTAATAGTATCATAGAACCCATGAAACTCAGGATGGATAGCGCCATATGTCATCTACCACCACACTTGTGGAGATAACAGTCAAGATGACACATGACGCTATCCCTCCTGAGCTTTATGGATTCCCCATACTTTTCACAACCTTCCCACACCCCCTCCAAACACACAAATATATTTGTATGTACATGACACTGAGAATGAGAAATGAATGAAAGGAGTGGGGTATTTATAGAAGCAAACTAACATGGGGAATAGCCCACCATTACGTATACAAACTCAAAAAACTTTTGACTAGAATTATTTAAATATGTTTTTGTGAATTTTTTTAATAATTCCTATACGTATTAATTAATTTATAATGCCCACAGACTACTGCTTGAATTTTCTAATTCTTTTGCTTAATCCTTACTTCTCTCTTTATCCACTAATCTTCGGCTTAATTGTGAGCATAAAATCGGATCCTTTTCACATGTCTAAATTCCTAACAGCTAGTATAAATAAATCACTTTAAAAATTTGTGGTACATTAATGTTAAATAAAAAAATGCCACTTTCCCTTCAAAAATTATTATATATGGTGCAAAATGTTTATAGCTTGTAGGTTCTTGGATGCGTGGAGCCATCTCTAATTATAGAGTTCACTTTTTTCCTTGATTGCCGATTGAACTCTGCATCATGATAGACAGAGACTTGAGGGCGGTAACCCATGAAGAAATTCTTTTAATATTGTAAGGATATAGTGAATAATTCGTACATATATTAGATCGTTCCGTATACTATTACTTGATTGTTGATTGAACTCCACATTACGATAGATGGGGAGTTAAGGGCCCGAGCCTCGGGAAAGGAGAAAAAATGTTGAGTGGGTACAATAATTCGCACGTGTATCAGATTGTTTCGTGTATTCTTCCTTAATTGCAATTCGACCATAGCATTATGGTAGATGGAGAATTGAGGGCGGTAGCCTCGGAGGAAAAAAATAATGTTATTGGGTATATTAAGTAGTTCACAATCGTAACAATATTTTCTCCCGCGATAAAAGTATTAGGACAAGTCATTTTATGTGTCGAAAGAAAAAGGAGAGGTGGGAGAGCTAACACGAATAGTAGTCTCTTTCTTCGTCATTATAGTTAAAAAAAACAAGGGTAAATACACGTAACTCTTGCATCTAAGTATGAATCATTATAAATTGCACGTTTTTTTCTTATTGTTTATCCATAACAAATATACCATTTGGAATGCATTGTTAAATGGAATGGACAAATATTAAGGACATGCAATGTTGATAAGGTTTGACGAAACAATTTGAGGCCAAACATTTCAGCTAATTACTTATCTTCGCTCAAAACTTGGAAGTTCTTTATGGTGTGAAATGAAATCCTTATCCAACTTCGAAAAAGAATTTGGCTTCAATTTGTGATCATGGATAAATTACTAGACAAGGTTGAGGTTCTTAAATCGGTTGTGCGAGGCGCCTGCCACATCGGAGCTCACAAGGGCCTCGGCCAATACTGAGGTGCCGTGTGTCCATTTTGGACACAGCTTTGGACACGACTTTGTACCACAAGCATTATTCTTCTTAAATATCCAATGTAGCAACCTTTAATTAGGGGCCCTAGAAGTGACCAAAACCAAATACAATAAGGTTCGTTTCGCTACTATCAAAATCTTACCATTTTGTAATTGATACTCGTAACTTCGCGAAAATTTTAATTTCGCCAATTTAATTTAGGAGGTTAATGAAACAATATTCTACCAAAAATAAAAACGATTACTTGATCGAGTGAAACTCAGAGTCTATTATTGCAGAATTCTCGAGAGCAAAAAAGTGTGACAAGGAGTCTGTCAGGTCACTGCCAGACCACCACAGTAGAGCAAAGCCAACTGAGAACGATCCTCCATTGCAATCGACCACTACCAGTTGATTTTGGCCGAGCTATTAATCACACTCTGATCTAGCAGTCATGTTTCATCCACCAGACTTGGTTTCCTGTCTCCTTGGAAATCAAGGATACAGAGGTACAGCCTATAGAACAGATCCTGTTCAAGTAAGGTCGTATCCTTTGTCCGATAGGCGTGCATATAAAAACTGGAAAGTATGTTCTAATTCTTTCGATGTGGGAACTGGGGAAGGTGGGTTTGATTAATTACTGGGGCGTACGGTTTCCACTCGTTTTACATCCAACAAGAAAAGGAAAAAGGAATAAAATAAGCTACAATTCATAAAAAACTGTGTAAATTTAAAATATAAAAATATAATAAAATAAAGAACGTGGAACTAGCGTGCATAGTTTTTAGCTTTGCCAAACATGCACTAAATAAGATCATGTTTAAAATCGACTTATATTGATACAACGTAGGTTATCAAAATAATTTCCGATATTTAAGTACGAAATATGATCAACATAACATAGGTCATGACCAAGAGAACACAATGAGGGATACGTAGAAGTTACATAAAATAGAGTTCGATTGACAACAATAGTGAATTTGATCTCATTTCATTTATAAGAAATACCTCTCATTCTACGGGATTTCCTTCAGTATGCAGAAGCAATATAGACTATATAGTGCACCTATTTTCAAAACCAAGACATACCTCTCGAGTTGCTCGAGATGACCAAGAACATTTGAAAAATGTACCTTCACAAATAATGGAAAAGTAACTCATTCCATACATCAGACACCCCGGGCAAGCACCAGTGTACACAATCAGAATAACTAGCAGGGTCCGCCATTTTCTCGGCGCCCAATGGCTCCCAAAATTTACGGTAAATGGTTGGGTGGCCGTCTTTTCTATACTCCGAAAGCTGAGTGATGTTTAGGACAGTAACCTTTGAACCCAACCGGTTCAAAACCTTATCTACCATCTGCATTGTGGGCAAGTCGGAACCAGTTCCCCAGTACTTCTCGTCCTTAATAGGCAGTTTCTCGTTATAACAATTTCCTTGGCTTCCCGGTTCCCAATCTTCCTTTCTGAACAGTGGAAAAAGACAGATAAAACAAATTATAAATTTTAACTGCAAAGTAAAATAGGATTATGACCAAAGACTCCGCCACAAAACCTATTGAACATTGGAGTTGAACTACGAGAGAAAAAACTAGAAAAACTGGAGAAAAATATCAAATCTAGTTTATTTGAATTGAAAAGGCTTAAAATGTCACTTACGCCAGA